TTGCCTACCCCAATATAGAAGATGAATATAAAAGCTAGAGATGTTTGGCCCTTAGTGGGAGTGTAAATAAGGGAAAGCGTGGTCTCAGACTCGTATGTCATATACTTATTTTATTGATTTCTAAAAGCTTGCCCTTGTGATAGGTCTTAAGGATAAGGTGCAAAATGTTGTAATCTTTGGTTTATAGGATTGACGATTAAAAATAGAATTAATGCCCAAATGTCATAGTGAGTTCATTGCTTTTTATGGGGCTCATGCTTTTTGGCAGCCCTTACTTGAAATATAGATGCTATCAGTTTTAAGAAAATCTTCCTTTGCTTATAAACTTATGCTGTCTAACCACACAGACTCGGAAGGAGAAAGAGAAGAGATTTAGAAATCTTTTAACTTATTTTTATTTTTAAGTATGTTCTCATAACTAGAACCAAGGAAGGAGGCAAGATAACTCCATACATTTAGTTCTTTTTTTGCTGGAAATATTTATACTTAATTCTTTAAAAATATATTGTGTATATTATACTATTGAACAATATTCAGCTTGTATAAAATAAAGAATCAATGGAGCAGTAGTGAAGGAACATTCAAAATGGGAACTTTCATAAGAAAAATTTGGAAAATATCCATCGTCTAGTAAAATTTGGTCAGTTACATAGACAAAAAAATGCATGTTTTTATCTCTGAGTATAAAAAATACTGACATAGGTGATTGAGTATTATTCGGAGATGAGGTAAAGTCTGTCAGAAGTAGAATATGTGATCCATTTTAATCTTTCCTTCAGGTTGCTGAAATACTTCTAATATGAGCCTCTACAGCCTATAAAAATTCAGATGGTACAAGGTGAACAAGAAAAAGGAACTCTTCCTGGGTGGAAATGATACTGACAAGTTAGCTCTGCCACATAGCATTTGAGAAAGCAAACAAAATGTATAACTGTGAATAGCTCATGATTTTCAGGAAAAGTCAAACCAGAGAAAATTTTCCATATTTAAAGTCAACCAAGTGGGGCTTGACTATTTTTACTGTTAGATAAAAGTTAGTTCAAATGGGGAGGGGGGTGATGCATTTTCCAGATCTTAATTTATATCTGTAAAATATTAGTGGGAGCCTTTGAATTATTTTCAGTAGATTTCTGAATCAAGCCCTAATGCATATGTTGAATTTGAAAATGAATAATGAAAAACTTTTCACTTCACCCCTTAAAAGTAGTCATATATGCTCATAGTCATATCTGGATGAATTTTTAATATTTTTCTCTTTAGCTGGAAGGACTTGAGAATGAAATTAGCCAAGAGAAACAAAGTCTTCAAAATAGTCAAAACCTGAGCAAAGATCTGATAAAAGAGAAAATACAGCTTGAAAAAGCAATTGAGACACTGCGAGAAAACTCAGAGAGACAGGTGAGTAACATACTGATTAAACATTGCACTTTGGCCCCTTTACACTTGGCATAGGTATCTTAAACGCAACAGGTCTGCACATTAAGCAATGTCTGTATTATATAGGCTTCCTTGAGATTCAGAGTTACTCTGGGAGGCAAGGCTAGGGATAAGAATTTGTTTTTGGAATTTAGCAGTGCTCTACTTGTTCTGTACTGTTTCTATGGCCTTACTGACCAGGCAGAAATTAGGGCTGCCAGAACAGAAAATCAGAAACTTAACTAGAATTAGTCTTTGACCAAGTACCACTCTGTGCAGAAGAAAAGGTGGTTAGACAGCTGTTACCAGCCCCAGTAAGAGTTATGGCAGTCTAGGGTTAGTAGTGCTGGTGGAAGAATGATAGAATGGAACTTTGTTCTGCTGTGCTCTTGCCCCAAACTTCCCTTTTTCTTTGTAAAACACCATCTATAGTAGGAATGGGGAGGACAGTTGCTCCAAGAGGCTGCCTCAGCCTACTTTAAAACTATGTGGAGTCCCCTCTACCAGAGGAATTCCCTGTGGGCATTTTACAAATAGATTCCAGGGGCTTTGAGCTGTTTGAATACCAAAAAGGGACTGAATCTCAGTAGAGAATATGCCCCTAAATACGTAACTCCGTTTAAATGGCTTGGTTGTCCCAGATAAAATCTTCAGCTTTTTAGCTACGTTTAAACTTTCAATTGACATTGTTTTAGGATACAGAATATAATGCAAACCATCTGGAAAAAAAGGGAGGGAGCTCTTATTTAGGCTCCTGACAGATATTATATTTATTATGAGCTTAGCATGTTAATCATGCAATAAACTGTAATGTGCCACATGTTCAATCAGTTTATCATGTGATAAAAATGACAAACTAGTCACAAGGAAAGACGTTTAATGCAAAACATCTTTGTGGTTGTTGGCATTATGCTTTAATTTGAATGTTTAGCATGTTAAAGCCATGCTGTGCAGCCCAGCAGCTCCCCATGCACCAGCAAGTAAAACTTCACCATGCAGACTGATACTGTGCTTGGAGATCTTTATAGCATGTAACCCATATCCCTAACGTTGGGCTGCACTGCATGACTTTAAAGATCTGGGCACACAGTGGCTGCAGACAAGTGAAGCTCCTCGCTGTAACTCATGGCACTTTGCAGGAAGTTCCATGAATTACAGCTGTCCCCAGGACCCTACAGACATTTGTGGTTGGGTCCTGGGGATTGGGAGATGAGCTGCAGTTTAAAGCAGCTGCATCTGCAGCCGCTTTCCTCTAGCAACGCCCCTCCTAGCCTTGGTGCTGTTTTTAGAATGGCAGGGGGCAAAAGGAGTGGAGGGAGATCATTCTGGGGGTTGCCCAGCCAGAACTGGAGGGTGGGGTGGGTGAACTGGAGCTTCAGAGAGATGACGAGAGGTATTCCAATCCACCCACCCCACCCCCAACACCAGCTGGGCAACCCCCAGAATGAGTTCCCTCTACTCTCTTCCCCACCTCCCATTCTGAAGACAGCACAGGGAGCAGGGCTTGGCTGCATCTACTTTGGAGCATCGTCGTCTGGACCCTCATATAATGAGGGTTCAGATGTTCACATGATTGGCCGTTTTTAAGGCACTCTGCAGCTGTTCACTTCTGTCAGAGCACAGCTGTAGAGCGCTTTCAGTGGCCAATCGCACAACAAACTGTCATGTCTGTCAGCACCCAATGGGATCTGAGAAATTATATCCCAGATTCCAAAAATTGCATGTCCTGTCCTGCCAAGTCTTGAACAACTGGGATAAAATTCCTTAAATCTCTTTTTAAATTAATGTTGGCCAAGGGCCTTAGTTCCACTGAAACAAAAATATTCAACATTAAAATCTGCACTCTTTAATGACTGCACTATGCTTAGGTTTTTAAACTGGGGGTACAAAAGGGCATGTAACTGGTTGTTTAATATTGTACATAATGGAATATTTTTAAAACTATGCCTGTTGTGTTTGTTCTGTTAAGAAGCATTTTCCATAAATAGATTATAGAAACATTACTAATTATGCATTAGTACAAATTGTATTTGAAAACAGGATTATGTTTTAATGATCTATTGTAACAATTTTTGAAGAAGTCATGAGTCCCAGTGCAGCTTTCCACTTCAGCACCAGTGTAAAGCTAAGCACATGAATGGAGCTGAATCCTCAGTGACATTGCTCGTTCTTTAAAGTATGTACTCAGGTGATTTTGAGTGTCACCATTGTTCAGAACTTTCCTAAGATTTGTACTGATGCCACAGAAATGTAACTTACTCATACAAACGTTCCATATTAACTAAATTGGTAGTATAAAAGACTTATCGATCATAACTTCACAGTTAATGTTTAAATATTGTCAATACATAAAAACATAGTCAATAAATTGTATTTACTGTTTGTTTTTAGCAATGCTGAGTTATGTAAAGGAACATCACAAAAATGTTATATGCAGATTCCCATTCTAGGAGTCTCATGGGCATTTCAAACCATTTCATCATTCCTGGGCCATGTACATGTCAATCTTCATATCCAAACAGGCGAATGAAAGCACATATGAAAGAACAGAGTCTATAATTTTTTTAAACCTTTTTATACAATTTGTACTGTAAATCAGAGGTTTTCAACATTTTAATAAGCATACCCCTGGTGGGCGGGGTGGGGGGTGCAGCTGGGTGCAGAGTGGCGGCGAGCAGGGTGTGGTGGATGGTGGTGGCTGCCGCATGCAACCTTCCCCCCCACCCTCATATCCAACCAGCCAGGTGGCGCCTGTGTGGCCTGCGGAGGGGCACCACTGCCTTCACCCTGCCCTGGCCCTGCTCCTGGGGTGTGGCGGCACTCCGTCCCTGCCTACCCCCACGTACCCCCCAGGGCCTTCCCAAGTACCCCCTGCTGTAGATTACAGAACTGTTAGACTCTTTTAATTTTGGGCATTTCTTAAGTGTATCTGCAAATGTATTTATGTTCTTGATAACTGAAATCACTGTAATGGAATATTCTTTTGTCCTTACATACTCATTTATGTTATGTTTTCTGGTTTAGAATTGTTTACTTACACATCTCAGTGGGTTGTTTAGATACCTACCAGGTCATAAACCCACTAGTCTAATGCCTTCAGCAAAAGCCCACACCTGAATATTGGTTTGGATATGCTCTTAAATTTAAGAGGTGCAGGTGTATGCATTTGTTAGATCCCTTTTGCAAAAAAGCTAATGCTTTTCTTAATAAAAGAGAATAGTCTTGGTATATGGAGTCAAAAAACTTGGTAGAGGTTTAATCATCGGCTCTACCTACTCCAGAAATCAACTCTATATTTTCAAATAAAATAATAAGCTAGGGAGATAATTACCTCCTGTTCCTCACCCCATCCTTCCTTGAACCTACATGTAGAATCTTATCCAAAGTCATGATTTAACTGTTTTTCTCTTTTTTGAGATATGTCCATTTCAGCTATATTCCGTCTCTCAAAGCACCAGTGTTTCAGAAAAAGCCATTTTGTTAAAAGATGACCAGAAGTATTTTGTGTTTAGCTTGTGTTTTTTTACTTTAAAAAATGTCCTTGAAAAAGTTCTGTACTTAAAATTTGTTGCATAACTATCAGCTGACATATATTGCATGTTATTATATGTATGGTAGAATAAACCACAGAATTTTTTTATAATAATACAGTCCATCTACATCTGTCTTACCTTAGCAGCCTGCTGTATATGTATATGTTGTGTGTATGTATGTGTATATGTATAAATAAATGATTTATTTGTTTGCATGTAACTGACCTAATTTAACATTTCTTTTTAATTATTTAGATTAGACTATTAGAACAGGAAAATGAACACTTGAATCAAACCGTAGCTTCTCTAAGGCAACGCTCACAAATCAGTGCTGAAGCAAGAGTGAAGGAAATTGAAAAAGAAAATAAAATTCTTCATGAATCTATCAAAGAGACCAGCAGTAAGTTAAATAAGATTGAATTTGAAAAAAGGCAAGCCAGGAAAGAACTAGAACATTATAAAGAGAAAGGAGAAAGAGCAGAAGAGCTTGAGAATGAATTACATCACCTTGAAAAGGAAAATGAATTATTACAGAAAAAGATTACCAATTTAAAAATTACATGTGAGAAGATAGAAGCCTTAGAGCAAGAAAACTCAGAATTGGAGGTAGAAAATAGAAAGCTGAAAAAAACTTTGGATAGCTTAAAAAATCTGACATATCAGTTAGAGTCCTTGGAAAAAGAGAATTCACAACTTGATGAAGAAAATTTAGATCTAAGAAGAACAGTTGAATCTTTAAAATGTACAAG